CCCCGGTCTCACCTGTCCCCAGCCCGGTCTCACCTGTCCCCACCCCGGTCTCACCTGTCCCCTCCCTGGCCTCACCTGTCCCCACCCCGGTCTCACCTGTCCCCAGCCCGGTCTCACCTGTCCCCAGCCCGGTCTCACCTGTCCCCTCCCCCCGCTCAGGTGCCGTCGTTCCCGTACCTGGGCCGTGTTCGGGGGGTCCCGTCGCAGGTGAAGGATTCGGCGTTCCAGTCCCGCCAGCTCGGCCGCAGGGAGGGGAAGGTGGTGAGCACACCTGGGAGAGTCACCCTGGACATGCTGCAGGTGAGGGGACACACCTGGGACATGGGGACACACCTGGGACACACCTGGGGACATGGGGATACACCTGGAACACCTGAGATACACCTGGGGACACACCTGGGGACCTGGGGACACACCTGGGGACACACCTGGGGACATGGGGACACACCTGGGGACACCTGGGAGGGGTTTGGACACACCTGGGGACACCTGGGAGGGGTTTGGGGTGACTTGGGGGGATTTTTGGGTTGCCCAGGTGAGGTTCAGGTGAGGTTTTGGTTGCCCAGGTGAGGTTTTGGTTGCCCAGGTGAGGTTCAGGTGAGGTTTTGGTTGCCCAGGTGAGGTTTTGGTTGCCCAGGTGAGGTTCAGGTGAGGTTTTGGTTGCCCAGGTGAGGTTTTGGTTGCCCAGGTGAGGTTCAGGTGAGGTTTTGGTTGCCCAGGTGAGGTTTTGGTTGCCCAGGTGAGGTTCAGGTGAGGTTTTGGTTGCCCAGGTGAGGTTTTGGTTGCCCAGGTGAGGTTCAGGTGAGGTTTTGGTTGCCCAGGTGAGGTTCAGGTGAAGTTTGGGCTGTCCCAGGTGAGGTTTTGGTTGCCCAGGTGAGGTTCAGGTGAGGTTTTGCAGCGCCCCAGTGCCATTTTTAGCAATTCCGAGTCAGTTTTGGGGCATCTTTTCAGCAAAGTTCAGAGTTTCGTCGGGATTTTGGGACCCCCCCGGTAAATTTGGGATAAATTTGGGGGGTTTTGGGGTCCCCCAGGTAAATTTGGGATAAATTTGGGGGGTTTTGGGGTCCCCAGGTGCTGCTGAGGGAGCACAAACTGCGCTCGTACTCCCTGAACGCCGTCAGCGCTCACTTCCTGCATGAGCAGAAGGAGGACGTCCCCCACGGCATCATCACCGAGCTGCAGGTGAGTCCTGGGGTCACCTGTGTCACCTGGGGGTCACCTGAGGGTCACCTGGGTCACCTGCAGTCACAGGTAGGGCACAAAATGGCCCCAAAATGGCTCTAAATGGCCCTAAATGTCACCTGGGAGTGTCACCGTGTCCCTAAAGGCGTCCCCATGTTCCCCAGGTGTGTCCATGCTCCCTCACCCCAGTGTCCCCATGTCCCCCAGGTGTCCCCAGCTGTCCCCAACTGTCCTCATGTTCCCTCACCCCCATGTCCCCAGGTGTCCCCTCACCCCGGTGTCCCCCTGTCCCCTCACCCCAATGTCCCCAGGTGTCCCCCTGTCCCCTTACCCCAATGTCCCCCTGTCCCAGGTGTCCCCAGGTGTCCCCAGGTGTCCCCAGGTGTCCCCACATCCCCTCACCCCCATGTCCCAAGGTGTCCCCAGGTGTCCCCTCACCCCGGTGTCCCCCTGTCCCAGCTGTCCCCGTGTCCCCATGTCCCCGTGTCCCCTCACCCCGGTGTCCCCGTGTCCCCTCAGAACGGGGACGCGCAGACGCGGCGCCGCCTGGCCCTGTACTGCCTGAAGGACGCGCTGCTGCCGCTGCGGCTGCTCGAGCGCCTGATGACGCTGGTGACGCTGGTGGAGATGGCGCGGGTGACGGCCGTGCCCCTCAGTTACCTGCTCACACGGGGACAGCAGGTCAAGGTGGTGGCGCAGCTCCTGCGGCAGGTGAGGCCCGGCTGGAGGGGGACACGGGCAGGGGACACGGGGAGGGAAAGACGAGGGGAGAAAAGGGTGGGAAACGTGAGGGGAGAAAAGAGCAGGAATCGTGAGGGGAGAAAAGAGCGGGAATCGTGAGGGGAGAAAAGAGGGAAACGTGAGGGGACAAAATGGCGGCACTCGTGAGGCGACAAAATGGCGGTGCTTGTGAGGGGAGAAAATGGTGGGAAATGTGAGGGGAAAAAGGAGGGAAATGTGAGGGGAGAAGGGTGGGAAATGTGGGGATAAAATGGTGGCAAGCGTGAGGGGAGAAAAGAGCGGGAATCGTGAGGGGAGAAAAGAGCAGGAATCGTGAGGGGAGAAAAGAGCAGGAATCGTGAGGGGAGAAAATGGCGGCGCTCATGAGGGGAGAAATTGGTGGAAAATGCGAGTAGAAAAGGGTAGGAAATTGAGGGGAAAATGGTGGGAAATGTGAGGGGAAAAGGGAGAGAAATGTGAGGAGAAAAGGGAGGGAAATATGAGGGGAAAATGGTGGGAAATGTGGGGATAAAATGGTGGCAATCGAGGGGAGAGAAGGGCGGGAAATGTGAGGGGAAAAGGGTGGGAAATGTGAGGGGAAAAGGGTGGGAAATGTGAGGGGAAAAGGGTGGGAAATGTGAGGGGGGAAATGGCGGCAGTTTTGAGGGGAAAGGGTAGAAAATGTGAGGGGGAAAAGAGCAGGAAACGTGAGCGGAAAAGAGCAGGAAACCTTAGAGGGAAATGGTGGGAAATGTGAAGGGAGAAAGGTGGAAAACTTGAGGGGACAGAATGGTGGCAATTATGAGGGGAGGAAAGGGCGGGAAACGTGAGGGGAGAAAAAGGGCGGGAAAACGTGAGGGGAGAAAAGGGCGGGAAACGTGAGGGGACAAGATGGCGGCCGGCATGAGGGGAGAAAATGTCTGGAGGTGACAGAGCTGCAGGTGAGGGGACCCTGGGGACACCTGGGGCTGTTGTGGGGTGGAATTTGGGAAGGAGTTTTTAGGGATTTTGGGGGAGGATTTTGAGGTAATTTTTTGGGGGAATTTTGGGGTGGTTTTTTTTTAATGGGATTTTTTTGGGGTTTTGAGGTTGGATTTTTTGGGGTGAATTTGTGACATTTTGGGGTGAATTTTGTCCCTGCCAGGCCATGCAGGAGGATTTTTTGCTGCCGGTGGTGAAGTCGGAGGGGGGAGAGGATTTTGAGGGGGCCACGGTGATCGAGCCCATCAAGGGGTGAGTGGGGGGCACAAAAAAAAGCCCCAAAATTCCCCAAATTTCCCTGAAAAAACCCTAAACAGACCTGGAAAAAAATCCCCTTTGGAAACCTCCAAAAAAAACCCTGAAAAAACCCCAAAATCTCCCCAAAAAATCCTGAACAGAATTCCCAAAAAAAACCCCAAAATCCCTGAGAAACTCCCAAGAAATCACCTCCAAAAAATCCACCCAAAAATCCCAAAAAACAACCCGAATAAAACCTTGAAAAAAACTCAAAAAAAACTCTGGAAAGAAACCCAAGAAACCCTTGAAAAAAACCCTGGAAAAAAATTTTAAAAAACCTCCTAAATTATTCTGCAAAAATAAAAAAGTTTCCAAAAAAAACCCTGAAAAAAACCCCCAAAAAATCCTTGAAAAAACCCAAAAAAATTCCTAAAAAAAACCTCAAAAAATCTTTGGCAAAAAAACCCCAAAAATCCCTGAAAAAAACCAAAAAAATCTTAAAAAATCCCCCCCAAAAATCCCGGAAAAAAAACTTAAAAAATCCATGAAAAAACCCCAAAATCCTCAAAAAATCTTTGGAAAAAACCCCAAAAAATCTTTGGAAAGAACCCCCAAAAATCCCTGAAAAAAAACCCCAAAAAATCACAAAAAAAACCCAAAAATTCCTGCAAAAACCCCAAAAAATCCCTAAAAAATCTCCAAAATATCCCAAAAAAAACCCCAAAAAATCCCTAAAACAAACCCAAAAAAACCCCAAAAATCCCTGAAAAAACCCCCCAAAAATCCCAGAAAAAAAATCCAAAAAAATCCCAGAAAAAACCCCAAAAATCCCAGAAAATATAAAGAAACCCCCAAAAAATCCCAGATAAAAACTCAAAAAACCCCAAAAAAACCCCAAAAAATCCCAGAAAAAATAAAAAAAATCCCAAAAAACCCCCAAAAAATCCCAAAAAAACCCAAAAAAAAAACCCCCCAAAAATCCCCAAAGAACCCCAAAAAAATCCCAGAAAAAACCCCAAAAAATCCCAGAAAAAATAAAAAAAACCCCAACAAACCCCAAAAAAATCCCAAAAAAACCCAAAAAAATCCCAGAAAAAATAAAAAAAAACCCAAAAAACACAAAAAAATCTCTGAAAAAATAAAAAAAATCCCAAAAAACCACAAAAAAATCCCAGAAAAACACCAAAAAATCCCAGAAAAAATAAAAAAAAATCCCCAAAAAAACCCAAAAAATCCCAGAAAAAATAAAAAAATCCCAAAAAATCCCAAAAAACCACAAAAAAACCTCAAAAAATCCCAGAAAAAATTAAAAAAAATCCAAAAAAAACCCAAAAAAATCCCAAAAAAACCCAAAAAAATCCCAGAAATAATAAAAAAAAACCCAAAAAATCCCAGAAAAAATTAAAAAAAATCCCAAAAAAACCCAAAAAAATCCCAGAAAAAACCCCAAAAAATCCCAGAAATAATAAAAAAAAAAACCAAAAAATCCCGGAAAAAATCCCCAAAAAATCCCAAAAAAATCCCAAAAAAACACAAAAAAATCCCAGAAAAAATAAAAAAATCCCAAAAAAAATCCCAAAAAAAATCCCAAAAAACCCCAAAAAATCCCAGAAAAAATAAAAAAAATCCCAAAAACCCCCCAAAAAATCCCAAAAAAACCCCAAAATCCCTAAAAAAGCCCCAAAATAACCCCCCCAATGCCGTGGCCCATCCCCCTCCGCCGGAGTTCCCGGAACGTTCCGGAATGCCGCCCAGGTACTACGACGCTCCCATCGCCACGCTGGATTTCTCCTCGCTGTACCCGTCCATCATGATCGCCCACAACCTCTGCTACAGCACCCTGCTGAGCCCCGGCACCGCCCAGCGCCTCGGGTGGGCACTGCGAGCGCTGGGAGCACTGGGAGCACTGGGAGCACTGGGAATGGGAACTGGGAGCACTGGGAATGGGAACTGCGAGCACTGGGAGCACTGGGAATGGGAACTGGGAGCACTGGGAGCACTGGGAATGGGAACTGGGAGCACTGGGAGCACTGGGAATGGGAACTGGGGGCACTGGGAGCACTGGGAATGGGAACTGGGAATGGGAACTGGGGTCACTGGGAGCACTGGGAGCACTGGGAGGGACTGGGAATGGGAACTGGGAGCACTGGGAATGGGAACTGGGAATGGGAACTGGGGTCACTGGGAGCACTGGGAGCACTGGGAGGGACTGGGAATGGGAACTGGGAGCACTGGGAATGGGAACTGGGAATGGGAACTGGGGTCACTGGGAGCACTGGGAGCACTGGGAGGGACTGGGAATGGGAACTGGGAGCACTGGGAATGGGAACTGGGAGCACTGGGAGCACTGGGAGCACTGGGAATGGGAACTGGGAGCACTGGGAGCACTGGGAATGGGAACTGGGGTCACTGGGAGCACTGGGAATGGGACTGGGAATGGGAACTGGGGTCACTGGGAATGGGAACTGGGGTCACTGGGGTTGCTGGGAGCACTGGGAATGGCACTGGGAGCACTGGGAGGGACTGGGAATGGGGCTGGGAGCACTGCGAGCACTGGGAGGGACTGGGAGCACTGGTTTGGGCTGGTTTACGCTGGTTTACACTGGTTTATACTGGTCCGTACTGGTGCGTGCTGGTTTACGCTGGTTTATACTGCTCCGTACTGGTTTATACTGGTTTATACTGGTTTATACTGGTTTACACTGGTTTACACGGGTTTATACTGGTTTGTACTGGTTTGTACTGGTTTGTACTGGTGCGTGGCGCAGGCTGGGCCCCGAGGATTTCATCCGGACGCCGACGGGGCAGCTCTTCGTGACGCCGAGGGTGCGGAGCGGGGTCCTGCCCCGCGTGCTGCAGGGGCTGCTGGCTGCGCGCAGCAGGTGGGAATTCCGGGAATTCTGGGAATTCTGGGAATTCCGGGAATTCTGGGAATTCTGGGAATATCGGGGTCCTGCCCCGCGTGCTGCAGGGGCTGCTGGCTGCGCGCAGCAGGTGGGAATTCCGGGAATTCCGGGAATTCTGGGAATTCCGGGAATATCGGGAATTCTGGGAATTCTGGGCATC